GCACCAAGAATTGACAATTCTATATATACATGTTAGAAAGAATTGTCCTTCCTTTTTTCCTAGACAGGGACTTTCAATGTAGACCTGACTGACCTGCAGCTGGCTATGTAGACCAGGCTGGCCTTAAACTTGCAAAAAATTCTCCTGCCTCTACCTCCTCAGTGCTGAGACTTATAGACATGACCACCTCGTCTACCTCGTGGGACTTCGGGTAATATCTGCCTGACCTGAGTGAGCAATAATAGCTTGTGCCTAATAATATGTTCCTAATCAGGTCAGCCAGGCACTGAGCTGACACTGATAACTACTCAACTTTTACATCAAAAGATTTCCATTCTTCATTGCCTGACAAATATCAGGTAGTTCAAGGCCAACAGTGAGAGCTATGCCCCCTACAAAGCCTTGTGATTTAGTGTCTGCCCTTGGTCTATTTTTCCAAGCCTAAACCACACACGAGTGCTCAAGAACCTACAAATATAATACAGATTTAAAGCCCACTACACACCCACTCCCAAAAGGTAGGATGAGGATTTGGTAACATCAGAATTTATGAAGTATGGAAGGGATACGAGGACAGGTAGGGGAGAGTAATCAGAATGTATTATGAGTGTGTATGATGAAGTCAAAGAAAGAGTTTAATCTTTTAGATCTTTATCAATGCTGCATAAAATCCTGAGTGGTGGCACACACCTTTAATCCCAACACTTGGGAGGCAGAGGCAGGTGGATCTCTGTGAGTTTGAGGGCAGCCACTACAGAGCAAGTTCCAGGACAGGCTCCAAAGCCACAGAGAAACCCTGTCTCAAAAACCAGAACAACAAAAGAAAACAAAACAAAACAAACAAAAAAAAACATGAAGAGTAACTATTTACTAGTTTACTGTTTTTGTTCACTTGTGTGTGTGCGTGCATGTGTTGTTACATGTTCTCTTGAGTATTCCAGGCTGCCCATGAATTCACTAAGTAGCTAAGAATAATCTTGAGATTCCAGTCCTCTGCCTCTAGCTCCACAGCGCTGGAATTATAGCTGTGGTCACACCCAGGGCTTTGTGGGTGCAAGACACTCTGCTGAACTACAGACCTAGGCCCTTTCCCTTATGAGACAGGATTCCATGTAGCCCAGGCTGGTCTTAAACCCAATACTGGGATTATAAGTGTGCTATCATACCTGCTTTTCTGTTTTTGTTTGAGACAAATCTCATACTAGTTCAGACTAGTTTAGGACTATGTAATCTAGACTGGCCTCAAACTCTAGGCAATCCTCCTGCCTGTCTGGAGCGCTGGAATTACAGGTGTGAGCTGTGTGGGGCAGCTATGTGGTTTGGCTATCCTCTCTGTTCCTCGATTTCTCTCCATAGGATTGCTGTGAAAATTAGTTTGTATGTATGGAATGAGATTAAAAGTCTTTCTTTTTTTCTTTTTCCCCCGAGACAGGGTTTCTCTGTGTAGTAGTCCTGGCTGTCTTGGAACTAGCTCTTGTAGACCAGGCTGGCCTCGAACTCACAGAGATCCACCTGACTCTGCCTTCTGAGTGCTGGGATTAAAGGCGTGAGCCACCACCGCCCGGTGAGATTAAACAGTCTTGCATGCAGCAAGCAGTTGCAAAGTGCTATTAATATTTTTGAAAGTAATATGAATTTGACAATCCAGTCCCAACATAGAGGGAGGTATCAGGGAGGTGGGGGCCCACACCTTTAATCCCAGAATTTGGGGAGGCAGAGGCAGGTGAATCTCTATGAGTTCGAGGCCAGCCTGGTCTAGAGAGTTCCAGGACAACTAAAGCTATACAAGAGAAACCCTACCTTAAAAACCAAAAATAAATAATAAAGAAGATTACTGAAATGTGAACACACAGACAGCAGTATCGTATTGGGGCTTGGATCTACCTCTCCGGGACAGTAAGGAGTCCAGAGTGCCTCCCCACTCCCCAGTTGGGTGTTTTGAATACTTTCTTCCTCAGGCTACTGGGTCCTGGCTTGGCCCTGGCACTTGTAAGCTTGGAACTGGGAGCAGTACCTTCCCCTCCGCCCTCTCTCTCAGAGGCTGAGATCAAGGGCTTAGTGGCAATGGAGGTAGCATTCATTCCCACAGACAGCTGGAGTCAAGGCTCAGGCTGTCTTTGAGAATGCAGCAGTGCCCTCTGCTGGGAAGCCTGCATTCAACAAGAAACAGATTTACATCAAGAATGTTATCCTGTTCCAGAATCTTTTTCTTTTTTTGTCTCTGGTCTGTTTTAGAGTGCTTCCTCCTTTCCTAATCTTGGGTTCTCAGTCACTAGTACCAGAGTTGTGTGTCTCACCACACGACGAAAGCTGCCCACCTAAAGAGCTCTGGGAATGTCCGGAGCACTGCGGAAGGTTTGAAAGGTCTTCCTGAAGTCCAGCTGATTTTCCCCTGCACTTCTACTTTTTCTTTCTTCTTATTTATTATTGTTGTTGTTATGTTTTTAAAGACAGGGTTTCTCTGTGTAGCCCTGGCTGTTCTAGGACTCACTCTGTGGACCAGGCTGGCCTCGAACTCAGATACACCTCCCTCTGCCTCCCAGTGCTGGCATTAAGGGCGCGTCACCATGCCCAAGCTCCTGTACTTCTATCTGCATCTTCATATATCACAAGTCTCCATTTTCAACTAACCTAGAGTCTACACTTTATCCTTGAGATTTAAAATGGAATGGAGCTTGAAAAATAGAAAAACAAAATCCCAGCTACAGACAAGGAAATTATAAAACCAACTCAGAGCTGCCACCTCTGCCCTGGACAATTTTATTTACTTTAAAGATTTATTTATTTATTATGCATACAGTGTGCCTGCATGTGCACCTGCAGGCCAGAAGAGGGCACCAGATCTCAATACAGATGGTTGTGAGCCACCGTGTGGTTTCTGGAAATCAAACTCAGGACCTCTGGAAGAAGCAGTGCTCTTAACAACCTCTGAGCCATCTCCCTAGCTTCTACCCACTAAGGACACTTTTAGGCAACTCTGTCAAGAAAGCAACTAAAGAGTGACTTTTCTTTTTGGTTGTTGTTGTTGTTGAAGACAGGGTTTCTCTGTGTAGCACTGGCTGTACTGGAAATCTGGAGGCAGGCGCTGACACAGAGGCCATGGAGGAACACTGCTTACTGACTTGCTCAGCCCGCTTTCTCCTTTAACCCAGGCCCACCAGCACAGGAGTAGTACCACCTAGAGTGAGCTGGGCCTCCCACATCAATCACCAATCAAGAAGGCCCCGCAGACTTGCCTATGGCCAACCCCGTGGAGCACTTTCTCATTAAGAGTTCCTCTCTCCACATGACCCTAGCTTCTGTCAGAAGCATTGAAAACTAGCCAGCACAGCTGGGGAGACGCTCAGTGTGTAAAGGCATCGCCTCCAAGCCTGATGTCCCTCCCAAATCCAGTTCCAAGTCAGGTGGTAGGCGGAAATCAACTCCTGCAATTTATCCTCTGACCTCTGCATGATTACCATGGCATGTGTGTATGGATATTTTTAGATTTATGAGTGTTTTGCCTTCATGTATGTATGTGCATCACATGTGTCAGATGCCCCCGAGAAGAGGGAGTCAGATACCCTGGAACTGGGATTAGAGACTGTTTGTGAGCCACCATGTGAATGTCTTCCACAAAAGCAACAAGTGTTCTTAACCACTGAGCCGTCTTTTCAGTTCTTTAAAAAAAAGAGAAAGGAAAATAACTGCTAAGTGTTTACCACATGTGGGTACCCATGGGGGCCACAGGAAGGCATTGACTCCCCTGGAGCTGGAGAACAGGTGGCTACTGACGACAATGCTGGGAACTGAACATGGGTCCTCTGGAGGAACAGTGACTACTCTTAACTGCCAAGCACTTCTCCACCCTCTTGCCATTTTAAAGCCATGGTCTTGTGTGGCCTGTGCTGATAAGCACCCAAGAGTGACACGGACTTTCTAATTTCCCTTCTCTTATCTCCAGTAGCTGGGATTACAGCCATGTACCCAGCATGCCCATTCGTGTGGTGCTGGAGACTGAACCCGGGAAATCACGTATACTAGACAAGTGCTCACCAAACTAGTCACTCCAGACAGGCCTGAGCTACAGAGTGAAGTCATTTCAAAAATAAAAATGAGAAACGGGGTGGTGAGATGGCTCAGCAGTTACGAGCACTTGTTCCCACATGGTGGCTTCACTATCATCCCCAACTCCAGCTCCAGGTGTTCTAGTGTCCTGTGATGGCCTCGGCATCTTGTGTCGGGCACATAAGTCACACATACACACACAGACAAGTCACACATACACACACACACACAAGTCACAAATACACATATTCACACACACATCACTCATAGACATAAATTAATCTTTATAAATTTTCAAAGAAAAGACAATGAAAAAGTTCACCACAGGCCTGTATCTTGTACATGAGCTCATTGTTAGTGAATCCCAGGTTTGACACCTAATGTTCACCAACTTCCTGCCTTGGCCTCTTAGGGACTTACCACTAAGTCCAGCATGAGAATTCAGCGAAAACCTTCCTTAGTTCCAGAACAATGGCTACTGTGCTTCAAGGCACATCAGAGGACCTGAGGAGGAACGTTTGCCCCGCTGATTTTGTGAAGTAGGATCAAGTAGCCGAGGTTGGCCTTGAACTTCAGGTCCTCCTAGGTCCACCTCATCAAGTACTCAGATTACAGGCACTAGCTCCACACTTGAAAGTTGTTTTGTTGTTGTTGTTTTTCCGGAAACATGTTTTCTCTGTGTTGCCCTGGCTGTCCTGAATTCACTCTGTAGACCAGGCTGACCCTGAACTCACAGAGATCTGCCTGCCTCTGCCTCTTGAGTGCTGGGATTGTTGCTAGTGGTGGTGGTGGTGGTGGCATATACATTTAATCCCTGGTCTACAGAGTGAGTTCCAGGACAGGCTCCATAGCTACTAGGAAACCCTGTCTCAAAGAAAACAAAATAATAATATATAAATCTTAAAAAAAAAAAACCTGAAATGAGGAATAAGTATTTTATCTGTATATGTATGCATACATGTGTGGTATACAGGTATATATTGAATGGCTCACTGATCTGTGCATTCTCCTTGAGCTTTTGTTCCATTTTTAGTATATGTGCTGCTGAAGCAAACACCATGATTTTTTTAGTTCAAATTCATGATGCTGAGGGCCCATGCTCTAAAACTTAAGCACTAAAGAGAAGAATTTGGCATTATCAGGTTATACCTTTAGGTCTCAAAGCTGTGTGCGTGTGAGTCAGGGCATCCTCTGGTGTTGGTCTCCATCTTCCACCTTATTTAAGTCAGGGTCTCCTTTCTGTTGTCCACTCACGTATGCCGGTTCAGTTGGCCCGAGAGGGTCCCGGGCCTCTGTTCCCACCTCCGTCTCATGGAAGGGCAGCAGGACTCCAGATGCAGTTACAGTGCTCAGTTTTACAGGGCTTCTTGGGTTTGGAACTCAGTCCTCATGCGTACGCAGCAAATGTGTACCTTGGAGCCATCTCCCCAGCCCAAGACTGCATCTTTAAATTGTTTACAGTGCTAGAGCCCAAACTCAGGGTACTTGCAGCTGCTGGGCAAACCCCTCACCAAGCATGACAATCCCTTAAAGGGGCTTCACTCATGATTCCTCGCTGCTTTATGTAGATCTTCTAGGAAGAGCCTGGGTTCACAATCACACATCTATGTTTACCTTCCCATTCAGTAAAGAGGATGGGGAGCAATGGGAGAAAATACAAAGAAAGAGAAGAGGCAGGATGTCAGACAGCCAGGCCTGGTCAGAGAACCAGCTGTCTGGCTTCTGCTAAGACATGGGAAACTGAGCAGAGCTCTATGAACTCCCTGAAGCAGGGTGAACACCTCAGTTCACCATTCAGCCCCCGGGCAGCAGCTCACTGACACCGAGCGGGTTCTCAGGCCTAGCAGTCCGTCAGAATGACAGCCTGTTGGCTTGTAGACACCTGGAGGCTTTTGTCTGATGGGTTTTGCTTTGTTTGCTTTTTATTTGTTTTTGAGATAGGGTCATGTGTAGCCCTGGTTGGCCTCAAACTCACAGAGATCCTCCTGCCTCTACCTCCTGAGTGCTGGGACTAAAGGTGTTGCACCGTGCCTGACTATCCCCAATGTTTGCAGCTTAACAATCATAGGGTTAGCGGCATAGATGACTCTTTCTGTTTGGCATCTCCATTGTCTTCTGGCGACTTCATGGCCACTGTCATACCCACTATCATGGCCTCACATCCTTCACCAGGATGGCAATCTGCTCCCAAAGCTGCCGCTCCTCTTCCTGCGCTTTGCTCTGGCTTCTCCATCTGAGCAGCTCAGCCTGGTGGTCCTGGTGGTGCATAGGACAGTAGCTCTGTGGTTCACACAGCTCCTGAAAGGTAGGGGACAAGGACAAGGTCTCCTTAGGCTCCTGAGCTCTGCCCACGAAGGACAAGAGGTGCTGCTCCCAGTGGCTGAGCTGTATTTTCCTCTCAGGATGTTTACAGTTTTGGAGGTTGCAGGCTAACGCTGGCTCTTCCGAGTCTGAGCCACACCACCACCACCCACCTCACCTCATCTCCACATCCCACCATGTTTGGGCTCTTCCATGTCCCTTTACCATATATTCTGGAAAGAAGTCTCTGTAGCCCCCTTTGAGGATATACAGCTCTGGGTAGTATAATGCCGGGTACTGGTTCAAAGCTCTGTCTTTTTCTCTCAGAGAACGGCACCTTTAGAGAAAATCCAGAGATGAATTGGGTGAAGGAAGCAAAAAGTCAGGAGCCCGCGAGCCTTCAGTGGGGGTTGGGGGCAGACCATGACTAACTTCCCAAAAGAACCTTTGTGGCTAACCAAGGTCCAAATAGCATTCTCTTCCATTTCCTCCATTGAAGCTTCATCCCCAAACCTCTTTGTGTGTGTGTGTGTGTCTTTACATGGATTTTTGTTTGTGTTTTGTTTTGTTTTTGAGACAGGGTCTCAAACTCAAAGAGATCTGCCAGCCTCTGCCTCCAAAGTACTGGGATTATAGGCATGCGCCACCGTGTCTGGCTCTTTTTTTGAGACCGGCTCTCTAGCTCAAACTGATCTAGAACCCAGGAGGACCTTAAACTTCTGTTCTTCCTGGTTGTGTGACTCCCACCTTTCCAGGTGGGATTCTAGGTGTGTACAGTCATGACCAGTTTTATGCAATGTTGGGGATCAAACCCAAGGACATGCATTCTAGGCAAGCATACTGCCAGCTGAATCACATCTCCAGTGCCCAGTTCTTCCCTTTAGTGCTCAAACTTCTGAATCTGGGAACACTTTTCTTCAATCACCCTAAGGCATGGAGTCTTGCAGCCTCACTGCTGGCAGTGGGAGGTTACTGCCCAGCTTGTTCACATCTTGGTGAATGAGGAAGCAGGTATGGGACAGGAAGTAGGGCTGGACTACAACCCCCAAGGCCCAATCCTATGGCCTGTGTGTTCTAGCCAAGACCTGTGTCTCAAAGTTTTACACCATCTAACTGCAGTGGAAGGAGCTCATTCGGGTTAGTCTGTCTAAACTGGTCTGACAAGTCTCAAGATCCATTTCCATCGCCAACCTTAGACACTCACATTCGGGGGCCTCGCTCTGAGGAGAATTCACAGAGGAACACAATGATGATTCTTTTCTGGCCATCCAGAGGGACAACAGGCTTCTTCAGGAAGAACTCATGCAGTTCCTTCTGACTGTACAGGTTTAAGGCTCCCTGTAGAAAAGGATGTTAGTAAGAATTTCCTCAAGGGCTTGTGTCCAGTCAATACTCAGGAATGCCTGGGATACTATGCGGGGATATTCAGGCCAGAAAGACTAGGCAAGAAGACATTTCAGGGCAAAAGGCTAAGCCTATCTCTGTATCTACCCTAGGGCATGGCAAAGAGTTTGGTTTGTAGCTGCTCCACGCCTGTTCACAGAACTGAACCACTGGAGTACAGGTTAAACTCTGAGAACTGTGTGTGAACATTAAATGTTTGCAAGTGTTCCTGGTTCTCCGACTGTTTTTACTTCGGGGCTCCCACAGGAAAGAGGGAGATTATCTAGGAGGGAAAGGAATTGCTCAAGGCACAGACTTAACACAGACATGAAGATTCCCTCTGATGTGATCCAAACGGATAATCCCCGTCCTGGTGCTAGATTTCAGGACCCTCGATCCCATTCACTCTTCTCAATAAACCCAAATCTCCAGCCTCTTCCTTGCTAATGTTCCCAGTGTCACCTCACCAGGATGTGTCCTCCCAGGTACTCATACGGATAGCGGCAATCGATGATATAAAACTTCTCAACCAGATCCTGGAACTTTCCAGACAGTAAATCAGCCACCTGCAGGGAAAGGGAGACTGAACATCCTGTCCGCTGTCACTCAGAGAGAGGAGCCACAGCACCTTTTTGTATACTCCCATTTGTCACCCAGGGCCGCGCTGCATGCACAGCCTCCAGAGGTAGCCTGCATCTGCAACATGGCAATGGTTAAGCCCAGTCCCACATATGAGCATGAAGCGGAGATGCCTGTGCAGAGGCCCCATGTGGCTGATGTTGAGGTTACCTATCCATCTAGAGACAAGCATGGTCACCAGCAGCCTCTCAGGAGACGTCCGAGGAGGACAGCAGTAGCGTAGTAGCTAGAGAACCCAATTTTATAAGAAGACATGGGAAATAGTTCCCCATTCACCAAGTCTTTCAGAAAACATACAGGTGAGGATTTGTATTTAAAGGGGAAAACTTAAAATTGCATCTAGAAGAATAAATTAGGTTCAGCCTTTCTAGAAAGAAACTTTATAAATACATATAAAAATACATAAAATTATACCTCCTATTTTAAAGTCTTTGTTTTGAAGAGATAAAGTCTTATGTTGCCCAGGCTGTCCTCAAACTCACTATACCTGAGGATGACTCTGAACTCTTGACCCTCCTGGCCCTGCCTCCTAACTGCTGGGATTAAAAGCATGTACTCACTACCCCCAGTTTCTTCTAACACTTTAAGTAAAAATTCACAAATTGATATTCATCTTAGCATTGTTTTAGGACACTGAAATATTAGAAACAACTTAATATTCAATAAGAAAGGTTTAGTTAAATAAACTATACATTCTGGTATAATGGATTATATAGTTATTAAAATAATACAGTGCATCTTTTTCTTTGTTTTGTTTTTCAAGGCAGAGTTTCTCTGTATACCCCTGGCTGTCCTGGATCTCTCTATAAATCAGGATGGCCTCAAACTCAGAGATGTACCTGCCTCTCCTCCCAGGTGCTGTGCTGGGATTAAAGATGTGTGCCATGACAGGCCTTTTTTTTCTTGAGACAAGGTCTTACCATGTAGCCATTGCTGGCTTCAAATACTTACAATAATCTCACCAAGCAAAAGTGTAACTTCATCATTTTTTTATAAACTAAAATTAATCCCAGTACTCAGAAGAAAGAGGCAAGCAGATCAAGGCCAGTGTGATCTACATAGCAAGTTCCAGGCCAGCTCAAACTACATAGAGAGATCCTGTCTCAAAAAGAGTGAGAAGAGGCAGGAGGATGTCTGAGTTTGAGGCCAGCCTGGTCTACAAGAGCTAGTTCCAGGACAGGAACCAAAAAGCTACAGAGAAACCCTGTCTCAAAAATTAAAAAAAAAAAAACAAAAAAAAAACTACACAGTGAATTTACAAACAGTCTGGGATAAAGGAGACTTTTTCAGAGTCATCGTGTATGTGTGTGTGTGTGTGTGTGTGTGTGTGTGTGTGATTCTGCTGCTATTGTTTGTGTGTATGTGTGTGTGTTGTTGTTGTTGCTATTGTTTGTGAGAAAGAGAGAGACTGCTAACATATAAATAAGTGTTCAAGGCTACTTTGGTCCCAACTGAATAATTTTTTTTCTTTTTATGTCTTCCTTCCCTTCTCTCCCTTATTTATAATATATCATTTACTTAATTTAAAAATTTTAAAAGGCAGAAAAGCATGGTGCACACACCTTTAATCCCAACACTCCAGAGGCAGAGGCAGGCAGATCTCTGTGAGTTCCGGGACAGCTTGGTCTACAGAGGGAAACCTTATCTCTAAAATAGATGGACAGATTGATAAAAAGATAGAAAATGGATACAAAGAAGTCCTTCTAACACAGCCTCAGTGGAATAAGAAGCCCATGAGAGTGGACAGAGTGATGGCAACACAGACAAGGTAGGCTTTAGGGGCGCACAGGCCAGATGGCTGACGATATGATCACCCAGTTATCATCTGCAGAAATTTGCTTACTGTGTCCGGGGTGACGTACTTCAGATCTTGGTGTTTTCCTGACACCGTCGGCAGCACACACACCTAGAAAGACCCAAGAACTGAATTTACAGCAGGGATTCCCAGCCCAAGTCAGATCCAAGACTCCCACAGTGTCCTTTCCAAGTGAGACAGAGTTTCTCTGTGTACATCTATCCTGGAACTCACTTTATAGAGCAGGCTGGCCTTAACTCAGAGATCCCCCTGCCTTTGCCTCCAGAGCTCTAGGATTAAAGGTGTGCAACACCACATCTGGCTTTCAAGTGATATTAGAAAACCAAACAGCAATTCTGTTTCTAATAACCGATCCCTAGGAACTTTTCAAGGATGTACACAGAACTCTACATTTTCACAAGTATGCCCATTTTACTCATAAGGAAAGTTATAAACCCAAATGTCCCACAGAAAGGATTTATAGAGAAATCATGAATAGCCAAAGAATTAACTAATGAACAGATATTGAAAATGATGAACTACAGGTCTGGGGGATGGCTGGCTGCTTTCCGAGGACCCGGGTTCAGACCCCCAGCACCCACATGGTGGCTCAGGGGAGATGGCTGGCTGCTTTCCCGAGGACCCGGGTTCAGACTCCCAGCACCCACGTGGTGGCTCACAGTCGTCTCCAGCTGTAGCATCAATAGCTCTGATGCCCTCTTTCGGCCTCTGACGACACTGCCCACATGTAATGCATAGACACAGGCACACAACCCATATACATAAAACAAAAACATTTTGTTGGGGCTGGAGAAACGGCTCAGCAGTTCAGAGCACTGGCTGCTCTTCTTGAGCTCAATTCCCAGCACCCACATGGTGGTTCACAACTACATAATGAGATCTAGTGGTCTCTTCTGGCATGCAGGCAAAACTGTATACAAAATAAATAAAACTTTAAAAAAAAAAAAACAACAACATTTTTGGCTGGGCAGTGGTAGCACACACCTTTAATCCCAGCACTCAGGAGGCAGAGGCAGGTGGATCTCTGTGAATTCGAGGCCAGCCTGGTCTACAAGAGCTAGATCCAGGACAGGCTCTAAAACTACAGAGAAAACCAAACCCTGTCTAGAAAAAACAAACAAACAAACAAAAATTTGTTGTTGTTTTCTGAGTCTCACTACGTAACTCTGAGAGTACTGGAAATTACTACGTAGACCAGGCTGACCTTGGATTAACAGAGATCTGGCGCCGGGCGGTGGTGGCGCACGCCTTTAATCCCAGCACTCGGGAGGCAGAGGTAGGCTGATCTCTGTGAGTTCGAGACCAGCCTGGTCTACAGAGCTAGTTCCAGGAGAGGCTCCAAAGCCACAGAGAAACCCTGTCTTGAAAAAACAAAAAACAAAACAAAAAAAAAAAAAAACAGAGATCTGGCTACCTAAAGGTGTGCACTATTTGATGAAATGTGGAGCTGGAGACATTGCTCAGTAGTTAAGAGTACTTGGTGCTCTTGTAGAGGACCAAGGTTCATTTCTCAGCACCCACATTATAGGTCACTGGCCTGTACTGATATTCAGGCAAAACACGTAAAAACAAAATAAAAATAAACAATTCTGTTGTTGTTGTTAACAATAAAATGGGGGTTAATCCCAGCACTCGGGAGGCAGAGGCAGGCGGATCTCTGTGAGTTCGAGACCAGCCTGGTCTACAGAGCTAGTTCCAGGACAGGCTCCAAAGCCACAGCGAAACCCTGTCTTGAAAAACCAAAAAAAATAAAAAAATAAAATGGGGGTGGTGGGGAGATAGGTCAGGTGAGAAAATACAACTATGAGGACCCACATTGACCCCCTAGCATCCACAAGCAAAGCTAGCGGGATGGTATGCATTTGTAATCCCAGAGCTGGGGTGGCAGAGGCACAAGGATCCTTGGAGCTTGTCTAGACTCATCTATAAGCCTAGGTTCCAGTGAGAGACACATGGTGACAGCTCCTGAGGAACACCAAAGGTTGACCTATGGCTTCACATGGACGCATACACTAAAGCACATACAGCAGCCTCCACACACCCAAAGTCAAAAGATTAAATGTTCAAGAACTGGTATACATCTGTAATCCTAGCATTTGGGAGATTGAAGCAGAAGGATCCTGAGCTATGAGATGCTATCTTTTTTTGAGATGGTTTCTCTGTGTAACAGCCCTGGCCATCCCAGAACTCACTCTGTAGTGCAGGCTGGCCTCAAACTCACAGAGAGCCGCCTGCTTCTGCCTTCCAAATGCTGGGATTAGAGGCGTGAGCCACCACCTCCTGGCAATATGAGATATCTTAAAAAACAAAAACATAAGCCAAGTGGCTGTGCATAAGCCTGGCAAAAAAATAGGCTGTCTCAAAAACAAAAACAAAAACAGGACCAGAGGTCAGTGGGTAAAGGTATTTGCCACCAAACTTGAAAACCTGAGTTCAACCCCAGGACCTACATAGTAGAAGGAGAAAGCCAGCTCCCGTAAGTAGTTCTCCAGTATATGACATGATCACTACACACTCATGCACACGCACTCTCTTGCACACTCCACACTCTCATGCACACGCACACTCTCATGAACACACACACTCGCATGCACACTACACACTCTCATGCACACGCACACTCTCATGAACACGCACACTCGCATGCACACTACACACTCTCATGCACACGCACACTCTCATGCACACTCACTCTCATGCACACTTCACACTCTCATGCACACGCACACTCTCATGCACACGCACACTCTCATGCACACTCCACACTCTCATGCACACTCCACACTCTCATGCACACTACACACTCTCATGCACACTACACACTCTCATACACACTACACACTCTCATGCACACTACACACTCTCATGCACACGCACACTCTCATGCACACTACACACTCTCATGCACACTCACACTCATGCACACTACACACTCTCATGCACACTACACACTCTCATGCACACTACACACTCTCATGCACACTCACACTCTCATGCACACTACACACTCTCATGCACACTCACACTCTCATGCACACGCACACTCCACACTCTCATGCACACGCACACTCTCATGCACACTACACACTCTCATGCACACTCCACACTCTCATGCACACTACACTCTCATGCACACTACACACTCTCATACATACTACACACTCTCATGCACACTACACACTCTCATGCACACGCACACTCTCATGCACACTACACACTCTCATGCACACTCACACTCATGCACACTACACACTCTCATGCACACTACACATTCTCATGCACACTCACACTCTCATGCACACGCACACTCTCATGCACACTACACACTCTCATGCACACGCACACTCTCATGCACACTCACACTCTCATGCACACTACACACTCTCATGCACACTCACACTCTCATGCACACTACACACTCTCATGCACACTCACACTCTCATGCACACGCACACTCTCATGCACACTACACACTCTCATGCACACTACACACTCTCATACACACTACACACTCTCATGCACACTACACACTCTCATGCACACGCACACTCTCATGCACACTACACACTCTCATGCACACTCACACTCATGCACACTACACACTCTCATGCACACTACACACTCTCATGCACACTACACACTCTCATGCACACTCACACTCTCATGCACACTACACACTCTCATGCACACTCACACTCTCATGCACACGCACACTCCACACTCTCATGCACACGCACACTCTCATGCACACTACACACTCTCATGCACACTCCACACTCTCATGCACACTACACTCTCATGCACACTACACACTCTCATACATACTACACACTCTCATGCACACTACACACTCTCATGCACACGCACACTCTCATGCACACTACACACTCTCATGCACACTCACACTCTCATGCACACGCACACTCTCATGCACACTACACACTCTCATGCACACGCACACTCTCATGCACACTCACACTCTCATGCACACTACACACTCTCATGCACACTCACACTCTCATGCACACTACACACTCTCATGCACACTCACACTCTCATGCACACGCACACTCTCATGCACACGCACACTCACTCGAAAAAACTTAAAGACGTTAACAATAAAAACATTGTAAAAGCAAAGATAAATGATGAAACAGAACTGTTTGCTGCTGGGAAGATTGTCTGCCTGAGGTCTGAACCCAGGGCCTTGGACATCTAAGCACACATTCTATCACTGTTACATCTCCAGCCCCCACCTGAAAGCTTCGGCTGTGGTTTGGGGACAGGATCTCACCACCCCGCCTCAGAAAAGATGGCAGTTTGAGGATCCAGTCCGAAACCTGGGCACAGCAGGCAAGCATTCTCTCTACCACTGAGCTGTGCTCTTATTCCGAGGAGCCCACAAGATGACATAAAACAACAGAGAAGCAAACAAAACCTCAGCAGACCCAAAAGAGCATAACAGTTATTTTTTTTTGTTAGTGAGGGCTGGGGGATAAAAATACTGTCTGTGTGTGTCTGTGTGTGTTTGTGTGGAAAAAGTCTGTAGAAATAGAAATATATACAAAAAATAATCTTCCTGGTTAAAAAGGTTTGGAATAAATTTTTCTACTTTTTTATATTAACCAAGTATTAATATCATTTTACTTATTTGCACACACACACACACAAACTGCTTTTGGAGACAAGGTCTCACTGGATAGTCTGGTTTGCTAGAACTCACTATAGAGTTTAAGCTGATCTGAAACTTGCAGCAATTCTCCTGCTTCTGTCTACTGAGTGCTGAGACTATATATATGAGCCGTTATACCCAGTTAAAAGATTTTTAAACATCCTAAAAATTGTGTGTGAGAGCTGCAGAGATGGCTCAGAGGGTAAAAGCATTGGCTCCTCTTCCAGAGGTCCTGAGTTCAGTTCCCAGCAACCACATGGTGACTCACAACCATCTGTAGTGAGATCTGGCGCCCTCTTCTGGCACGTTGGCACAAATGCAGGCAGGACACTGTATACACAATCAATAAATGCCTTTGAAATGTGTGTGAGGGTGACTGTGGGTACTCATGCGCCACCACGCGTGTGTCAAGGTCAGAGAACAACTTTCCGGAATTGGTTCTTTTCTTCCACCACAAGCTCCAGGGTGCTTTTTGCCTGCTGAGCCATCTTGCCAGCTCTCAAAAAGATATTTCTAACAAGAATAAAGGATACAAAGTTTCATATACATACCAGGGTTGTGGATTTTTCTTAGATAAACAAGAAATACCTTCTTAGTAGACAGACTTAGGGTTGAGGTATATATACCTTTAAGTCAGCAAAGCACATTTAGTGTTACATCTAGCATCCTCTGCAAACAGAAATTAAAATCCAGACGATTCAGCCTGGTGGTGATGGCACACACTTTTGATCCCAGCACTCAGGAGGCACAGGCAGGGAGATTTCTATGAGCTCACACACACACACACACACACACACACACGCGCGCGCGCGCATGCATAGTAAAGGCAGATAGAAACAAACTCACCTTGGAGAAATCACCAATCAGATACCCTTGTTCAGACTCTTCCTCCTCCATCTGAATGGCATTGATGCCACAGAGAGGGGCCATCTTCTTTAGACTTAAGCTCTGAAATGACAAAACTCTCACTTACCCCAATTCTCATGTTAAAGATTTAAAGAACAATCAGAACCACTGATGACAACTTATGCTGGAGAGGTTGTGGGGTAAAGGGAGTGCAAGCTGGTACAGTCCCTTCAGAAGTCAGTGCGGCGATTTCTCAGAAAATTAGGAAACAACCTTCCTCAAGACTCAGTAATACTACTTTTGGGTATTTTGGGGTATATATCCAAAAGATGCTCAATTGTGCCACAAGGACATGTGCTCAACTATGTTCATAGCAGCTTTGTCATAGTTAGAACCTAGAAACAACCTAAATGCCCCTCGACCAAAGAATGGATTAAAAAAAAAAAGTGGTACATTTACACAATGGAGTACTACACAGCAGAAAAAAATAACGACACCTTGAATTTTGCAGGAAAATGGATGGAGCTAGAAAACATAATTTTGAGTGAGGTAACCCAGACCCAGAAAGACAATTATCACATGTGGTTTTTAAACAAAAAGCAAAGAAAATCAGCCTATAAACCACAATCCCAGAGAACCTAGACATCAATGGGGACTAAGAGAGACATACATAGATTTAATCTACATGGGAAGTAGAAAAAGACAAGATCTCCTGAGTAAATTGGGAGCATGGGGACCTTGGGAGAGGGCTGAAGGGAAGGGAGCAGAGAAAAATGTAGAGCTCAATAAAAATCAATACAATTAAAAAAAAAAAAGGTGTAAAGAACAGGGCTGGCAAGATGGCGCAGTAAGTAAGGTACCTGCTGGCGCCTGGCAGCCTGAGTTCAATTCCCAGAACCCATATAAATGTGGAAGGGAGAACCAGCTCCACAGTCTTCTCTAGCCAGGCAGGGTGGTGCACGCCTTTAATTCCAGCAATTGGGAGGCAGAAGCAGGTGGATCTCTCCTCCATTAAACACTGCTACCCTGTGTTTACACACACACATACACACAGATGTGTGAGATAAGAACATACATGCTTTATTTTAGGGAGAAGCAGAGATTGAGACAGGCTGGCCTTGAATTTGGACTTCTCTTGCCTCAGCTTCCTGAGTGCGGGAATTATACAAATTGCTCTTAATACTTTATCATATGGACAGGAATTCTGTGGAAGTTATCATGTCCTCCATTTGACATACGTATTTGTGTAACCCACGTGCATGTGTGCACGTGTCTGTGAATGCGTGTGGAGGCCCTAGGTGGACGCCAATAGTCTTCCTCAATCGCTCTCCTCATTCACGGAGGCAGTCTGTCAACTGAACGGAGAGCTGGCTGGTGAGGCTGCTCTACTAGCCTGCTGACCCCAATCTCCGTCTGTGTCTTCCCCTTTCTAGAGCTGGATTACAGGTGGAACCACCCAGCATTTATGTGGGTTCTGGGACTTTATAAGCTGAGCCTTCTGCCCAGCCCTGCTCTCCCATTTATAAGGGAAAACTGAGGCTCGCAGTAGATGGCAGATGGCCTAACACAGGAACTGAAACCCATGGACCACATCTGCCTTGTGAACTCACTACACTTAGCTTGTGGAAACAGGGTATCCCTCTGCTACCCTGGCCAACTTCGAGCTCGAGGAAACCTTCCTGTCTCAGCGCACCAAGTGCGAGAATTATAAGCATCAGCCACCAAGCCTGGCAAATCATTTATCTTTAACTTTATAAAGTTTCAGTACAAGGGTGCATTGTATGTCGAGTGCACTATTTCCAAACCCCTCATCCTGCCCTTTTGTGTCCATCCACTTCCATTAGTCAGCTTATCCCTCCAGACAGAGTTACTCCACTTACAGGAGTGGATTTTCAAACATCTTTGCCCACATTAGTTTCAAATCAATGAAGCTGATTCAGAAGTGCTAAACACCTCAGAAACTATCTCTGGAATGTCAACACACACATACAAGGCACAAGCAGTTTCAAATTATCTCCTAGTGGTGTGGGAAGTACACCATAAAACACTTACAAGATCCTGCCTGGTTATTCCAGTCATCACTTCTGCTGATGCCTCAAATTACTGACTAAAATTTCTCATCCAGTAATAGGATGATCTCCATGGTGACAAGACTCTATCCGTCAGGTGAGTCTTTGAGTCTATAGACTTCTTTCTTTCTTTCTTTCTTTCTTTCTTTCTCAATTAAAATAAAAATTTGAACTTAAACCCTGATCTCCTGAAAGAGCAGCCCGGGCTCTTAACTGCTGAGCCATCTCTCCAGCCCACTACCCCTTTGAGACCAGGCCTCACTAAGTAATCAAGGCTGGCTTTTCACTTACAACCTTCCTGTTTCTATTTACCAAGCAGTGAAATTATAGGCATGTATCATGACTAAGATCCTGGCTTTTTGTTTTGTTTTCACAGCCCTGTACAATAGGTATAGACTAGGGGCTGGAGAGATGGCTCAGTTGTTAAGAGCATTGCCTACTCTTCCAAAGGTCCTGAGTTCAATTCCCGGCAACCACATGGTGGCTCACAACCATCTGGAATGAGGTCTGGTGCCCTCTTCTGGCCTGCAGACATACACACAGACAGAATATTGTATACATAATAAATAAATAAATAAATATTTTAAAAAATCCTAAAAAAAATAGGTATAGACTATTGTTTACTTAGGAACAAATGTAGAAGCTCATACCTGTAATTCTAGCACTTGGGAGACTGAGGCAGGAGGATTAAGGAGTTCCAAGACAACCTGGGCTATACAGTGAATTCTAGACCAGTTTTGGATACAAGTAAGTTCTAGGACAGCCTGGGCCTCAAAGTTAGACCCTGTCACAAACAAACAAACAAACTGAGATGGACAATTTGGAAAAGCAGCACAAGACCACACACCTGTAGTCTTAGTATCCCGGGGGCTAAAACAGGAGTGTGCTGTCAAAGCTGCTCTGAACAGCAATGTCAGCAACTCGGACTACATCCTGAGACCCTGTTTTTAAAAAACTAAGACAGCAGGGCGGTGGTGGCACACACCTTTAATCCCAGCAGTAGGGAGGCAGAGGCAGGCGGATCTCTGTGAGTTCAAGGCCAGCCTGGTCTACAGAGTGTGTTCCAGGGCAGCTAGGGCTGTTACACAGAGAAACCTTGTCTCAAAAAACTAAAAGAAAAAATACCAACCAAAAACAGAAAAAAACAACAACAACAACAACAACAATAGCAGAAATCAAGGGCCACTGAGATGACTCAGCTCGTGAAGCCTGCTGATCTGAGATTGATGCCTGGATGATAAGAGAGAACTAACTTTCACAAGTTGCCCTCTGACCACCACACATATGGCATGCACATACACACAAACATACAGACAGATGCACATAAAAAATGAAATGGAAAAGAAAGGATGAAAAATTGAAAATAACAGAATACCGTACCTTGGTGCCTTGGTCTTCCAGGGAAAACTCCATTGGCTCCTCTGAAATCCCTTCTTGGTCTTCTAGCTTTAGATTTTGACTCAGTTTTGGAACTGTAGTAATGGGACTGCCCAGACACCTCATTTCATTTTCCACCATGATTCTATTTTCCTATCAAGTATATTGACGAGATTAAAACCTAGTTAGGGCTGAGTGGGAAAGCACATGTCCATGATCCCACTAATCAAGAGGCTGGTACAAATGGAAGAGCAGGCCAAGGCAAGCCTGGTCTACATATTCAAATCCTGTCTCAATGAAGGAACAAAAAATGAAAAATAACAAACAAGAAACCCTGACTTTATTCAGAACACTTGTATCAGTCGGGGGAGGGGGATGGTAGCGCACACCTTTAATTCCATTGTTTGGGAGTTGGAGGCAGGCAGAACTCTGTGAGTTCAAGGACAGCCTGGTCTACAAGAGTTAGTTTCAAAGCTACAGAGAAACCCTGTCTTGAAAAACCGGAAAAACAAAACAAAACCAGAACACTTGTATCATGTACAAAGACTGACTCAAAATATACTAACAATATAAATGTAAGAATTAAAAGTGTACAACTCTTAAAAGCGACCTGTAGGGGCAGAAACCTATAACATCAGGACTCAAAAGACCAAAGAGGAGGACAGAGAACAGGCATTCAAGGCTAGCCTGAGCAGTGAAACCTCACTTCAAAAAAGAATAAAGAATCTAGGCAACATGCATCGTGGCGCAGGGTTGTTATCCTAGCACTAAACTGAGATATCAGGATTGTTGTAGGTTTTAGGACAGCCTGAACTACACAGCGACTTCCAGGCTAGCTTGAACTACAGAGTGAGACCTTGTTTCAAAATCCCAAAAAGAAAGGAAGAGAAAAGAAGAAGGAACCAAAGGCCTAAGAAAAATTCTCACTCCATAGTTTAAACACCTAAAAAGACAGAGATTGGATTTACTCCCTCACCCTTTTATCACCTAAAGCAGCTGAGAAAGAGTCAACAGGCCAGAAGTCCACAGCTTACTCTCTGGTCCATGATACTCCAGTCATCAACACATCCAACAACTCACCAGCACAGGAAGGGGAGAAGCCAGGGGCTCTCCAGGCAGGTTTCGAAACCTCGGGGTCCTAGGTGCCTCCCACTCCAGTGTCTTCAGATTGGTGTTTATCTGCATAAGAAAAACTGCATTGGCTGGAGGAAGAGAAGTAGTAATGTCTGCCAAAAGAATCACATCTCATAAACACATACACACAAACATCAAATGCGTATCGGAAGATATATAATACTTTGGACTTCATGTCTGATACTTAGATTTGCTTTGGAGAATACAAATTTTATCATCATAAGCAAAAGGATAGAGAAGAAAGTTTGCTTGGGAAGGTATATTTGCATATAGGTTGTACTACGCGTGCCTACACCTACAAACACAACATGACCATTTCAAAACAATCATTTACATGATAGTAATGGCAATCTGTATACTTAAACTGATGAACTGGAGATAACTGATAACTTGCAATAGAGCTAGATGTTTGTCCTAAGGTTAAACATTAGGTAGAAAAACAAGAGTTTTTTTTTTGTTGTACAGTGATGGAATTCACTTGTCTAGCATATTGAGCCTAGGTTTCATGACATCAAGCAGTTGTTCATTTAAAAAAATAAAATTAATATAGCAAGGTTTCCACTAAATACTCACATTTTCTTTATTTGCAGATAGGTCACGCATTGCATCTTTTTTTCTGTGGCCATGGTCCAAAGCATTTGGAGTACTACACAGAAGCTGCACCTAAAAGACGGTGTCTACTGAAAACATCCAATCTCCGTAAGCCACACCACCAGCTGGGACCCCTCTGCTTCCCACCAGAGAAATAAAGCCACAGTCAAACCAAGGGAGAGTCTAGGCTGGGCTTGGTGATGCATGCCTGAAGTGTCAGCGCTCAACTCCAGCCCAGCTAGCCAAGCATAGTGAGACCCCTATTCAAAGGAAGGGGCGGAGGTAGGAAGGTGGGTGGGCAGGCCGGTCTACCTACTGGGATGCCTTTCATAAGGTCCTGGTGATGATTCCTGAAGATTAAAACAAAAACAGACCACTAGTCAGGTAATCCCCAAACACAGTTTGGTTCTTCGGTGGTTAGGGGCACCTGGCTTTTCCTTTCTTCTATTCAAGGAGTCCTAGTGTTTATTTGCCTCTTCCAACAATACGCAGGGTATTAAATATCAAGACTCAGTGGCGTCCTGGGGAAAAGGCCCTCAGTTCACCAGCATACCTGACCTGGATGAGATAAACACGTGCACAAGAAAGTCTATTCTGATGCTAGGATGTACCCCTGGGGCCTTGGGTGAGCCCAGCGACCACCAGACAACACCTGCCACTCCTGTTCCCACACTGGCTACAGGAGGCTCTTTAGAGCTGAGTTTCGATCTTCCCTCCCACAACCTACCTAGTCGACAAGCATGGGCTATTTACAACAACCCAAAACCAGGCCGGTGGCCCGACACTGTGGAGCCAGCAGTCAGGTCATACTGGACAACAATGAGACCCAGCCTCCAAGAAAAAAGTATTGAAAGAGGAAAAAAACCAAAATCAATCCAGGTGGTGGTCACAAGCCTTTAATCCCAGCACTCTGGAGCCTGATCTACACAGAGAAATCCTGGAAGAAGAAGAAGGAGAAAAAGAAGGAGGAGGAGGAGGAGGAGGAGGAGGAGGAGGAGGAAGAGGAGGAGGGACAGAAAAATCGGTTCAAAGACAACAATGAATACAAATAAAATTTTCATATGTACTCATAAAAGCTGCCATAGAAAGCTTTCCCCAGCCGGGCGATGGTGGCGCACGCCTTTAATCCCAGCACTCGGGAGGCAGAGGCAGGCGGATCTCTGTGAGTTCGAGACCAGCCTGGTCTACAGAGCTAGTTCCAGGACAGGCTCCAAAGCCGCAGAGAAACCCTGTCTCGAAAAACAAAAAAAAAGAGAAAGCTTTCCCCAGTGCGATTACATAGTATCTACTTATACAATATCTAAGGAGAGTCTAAGAAGACTAAAACAGTTAATTTAGAATAAGTATTGATTTTTTGTTATGGTTTTAGTTTTTTAAAATATTTATTTATTTATTATGTATACAGTGTCTGCATGTACACCTGCAGGACAGAAGAGGGCACCAGATCTCATTATATGGATGGTTGTGAGCCACCATGTGGTTGCTGGGAATTGAACTCAGGACCTCTGGAAGAACAGCCAGTGATCTTAACCGCTGAGCCATCTCTCCAGCCCCATGGTTTTAGTTTTTTAAAATAGGGTTTCTCCAACCTTCCTCAAGACCCAGTAATACCACTTTTGGGTATATATCCAAAGGATGCTCAATCGTGCCACAAGGACGTGTGCTCAACTATGTTCACAGCAGCTTTGTTTGTCATAACCAGAACCTGGAAACAACCTAAATGCCCCTCAACCGAAGAATGGATAAGGAAAATGAGGTACATTTATACAATGGAGTACTACACAGCAGAAAAAATAACGACAGCTTGAATTTTGCAGGAAAATGGATGGAGCTAGAAAATATCATTTTGAGAGAGGTAACCCAGACCCAGAAAGGCAATTATCACATGTACTCACTCATAAGTGGTTTTTAAACATAAAGCAAAGAAAGCCAGCCTATAAACCACAATCCCAGAGAACCTAGACAACAATGAGGACACTAAGAGAGATTTACATGGATCTAATCTACATGGGTAGTAGAAAAAGACAAGATCTCCTGAGTAAATTGGGAGCATGGGGACCTTGGGAGAGGGTGGAAGAGGAGGGGAGAGGCAGAAAGAGGAGCAGAGAAAAATGTAGAGGTCAATAAAAAATAGATTAAACAAAACAAAAAGCACAAGATGGAATAAAGGAAGTAGTAGGGGATTTTACAATCTGCCAGCATAAACACTTATTTTTATTTTCACAGAGCATGGAGTGCCAGAGTTATACTGGGAATGCTTTACAGTACTTATTGGGGGTGGGGGTGTGCACATACACCTTCTATAACTCTGGGAATAAAACTGACCAGTTAATAAAAAATAAATAAATAAACAAACAAACAAACAAACACACAAAAGAAACACAAGTTCCTGACTCTCCTAGAACTTGCTCTGTAGACCAGGCTGGCCTTGACCTCAGAGATCTGCTGCCTCTGCCTCCCAAGTGTTGGAGTTAAAAGCGTGCGCCACCACTGTCTAGAATAAGTTTTGAGTTTAACCGAAGTCAGTTTTTATTCTGTGTACACCTCCTAGCTAAATATTTTAGGATCTCCAAGAGATACTTCATCATAGTTATAACAACTAACATAAAATGCTTGGTATTTGCTATATATATGTTTTGCTTCGTTCTTCTGTGTTTGTTTGCTTTTTGAGGGGAGGGGGTAGAAATGGGGACGGTACTTACAAAGCCCAGGCTAGCCTCAGACTTGTTACATAGGTAAGGCTGCCCTGCCTCGACCACTGGAGTTTTGGAATTAGAATGTAAACCATATCACCTGGCTCTGATTAGTATTTGTTTTTAACGTTTGGGTTGGATGGTATTTTGTTTCATTTAAGACAGTGTCTCAAATGGCCCAGCAGCCTTCTCACTTTTTTTTTTTTTTTTTTTTTTGGTTTTTCAAGACAGGGTTTCTCTGTAGCTTTGGTGCCTGTCCCGGAACTAGCTCTTGTAGACCAGGCTGGCCTCGAACTCACAGAGATCCGCCTACCTCTGCCTCCCGAGTGCTGGAATTAAAGGAGTGCGCCACCAATGCCCGGCAGCCTTCTCACTTTTAAGTAATCTTTTCAATAGCTGTTTTTAAAAAGTGCTACTATTGCCAAGCAGTGGTGACACACACCTTTAATCCCAGCACTCGGGAGGCAAAGGAGGACAGATCTTTGTGAGTTTGAGGTCAGCCTGGTCTACAGAGTGAGTTCCAGGACAGGCTCCAAAGCTACATAGAAATCCTGTCTCGAGGGGCTGGAGAGATGGCTCAGTGGTTAAGAGCATTGCCTGCTCTTCCAAAGGTCCTGAGTTCAATTCCCGGCAACCACATGGTGGCTCACAACCATCTGTAATGAGGTCTGGTTCCCTCTTCTGGCCTGCAGACATACACACAGACAGACGATTGTATACATAATAAATAAATAAATAAATATTAAAAAAAAAAAAAGAAATCCTGTCTCGAAAAATCAAAAGAAAAAAAAAGTGCTACTGTTATCTTTTATTATGAATAAAGAAAGTTTGATCCAATGAATTAAGAAACTGTGGGTCACAGCTGGTGAAGTAGTAAGTCACAAGGATCCAGACAATCTCATTCCTGACCCTGCATCCCGAGTCACTGAAATACAGCACCTCACACGTGCAGAGAAGCTCCAGCGTGCGCGCAGTATACCATTCCCTTCATGTAAAAACAAGATTATTTCTGTGTGTGCCGGTTTAAAATAGTCTGCATTTCACAACACAATTTAGAACCAGAAAACTTAAAATCTGTCAAGCCAGAATCTAAGGCCTCCAAGCCCACGAATACCCCAAGGGAAGAACTTCGCCGTCTGCGGAGTCCACAAAGGACTTCCCTGTGAGCAGTGAGGGCGTGCAGACCATTTTCAACAGCAGAACTTACTTCGCGGTTAACTGTGCATCCTGAGGTCCTGAAGAATCCAAGGAACCTGCAATCAGTTATGGAGAATAATGGGCTGGGCATGATGCTTACTTGGTAGAGTGTTTGTTTAGCATGCACAAAGTTCAATCCTCAGCACTGTATGAAAACATGGTGGCACACATCCGTTATCTCATAGTCTGTTACCCCCACCCCACCACACAAACACGCACTAATAATAAATAATTTGGAAAAAAAACATTAATTGGGCTAGAGAGATGGCTCAGAGGTTAAGAACACTTGCTGCTTTCGCAGGAGACCCAGGTTTGGTTCTCAACACCCACACGGTGCTCCACAACCATTCTCAGCTCCAGAATTCACTGTACATGCAGGCAAAACAACATAGGCTTCAGAAGGAATAAACACAAATATGCCTGCAATTCCAGAACCTGGGAGGTAAAGAAGATCAGAAGTGCAATGACTACGGAGTAAGTTTGAGGCCAGCCTGAGCTACATGAGACAGTCTCAAACCTCCACCTTCTCTCCTCGCCAAGAAAGCAAACAGAAAAGAAAGTGGCTATTCAGGAAATCTGAAATTACAGCAAACATTAGAATGGTTTACTAGCAAAATTTTTTGGTTTAGACCCAGAAACACACAGACACACGCGTGCACGCACACACACACCAATTAGTTGACAACGTATATCTTTTGAGTTTGGAGGGTACTGAGGACTGAATGAAGGGTCTTGTAGAACAAAGTATTTTTATGCCAATTTCTTTGCTTCTAGTGAGATTAAATTGGGATTAAAAAAAATTTACTGCACTTGCATCCGCACCATTAATCAGTCAACAAAATAAATTACTTCTTGAAAAACTTTTCTAATGCAAAGCAACTTCTATTACTGTTATTTTCTCTTTCCATTTATCATTCAACTAAAAATTATCTAACCTCAAAATTTCTACTTTTAGGCAAATGTTCTCTCTCAGGGCTTTGGTATGTGGTAGCGCTGGCTGGTCTCAACCTTCCAAGTTTTGGGTTTACATAAACTAATATACCTGGTTTTACATAGGTTCTTTATCTATTTTCACCATCTTCCATTTCTATGCTATTACCTTGTGTTCTCTCGAAAAAGTTATAATAAGCCTTAGCCTTTTTTGTTTGTTTGTTTGTTTTTCGAGACAGGGTTTCTCTGTAGCTTTGGAGCCTGTCCAGAAACTAGCTCTTTTAGATCAGGCTGGCCTCAAACTCACAAAGATCCGCCTGTCTCTGCCTCCCGAGTGCTGGGATTAAAGGTGTGCGCCACCACTGCCAGGCCAAGCCTTAGCCTTCAAAGGCTGAGCCACCTCTCCAGCACAAGCGATGTTAGCAGCTGAGAGCACTTGCTGCTCTTCCAAAGGACCCAGGTTCATTTCCTAGCATCTACACAGTAGCTCATCACAGTCAGAAATCCCAGTTCCAGGGGATCCAACTCACAACTCTTCTTCCGGCTCCTGAGGGTACCAGGCATGCATGTGGTACACATCATACATGCACGTGAAAAGCATTTATACACATAAAAATTAAATAAAGATAAAAATTTAAAGTTAGTTTTCTCTTTGAAGACTGTCCCCTACCGGTTTCATCAAAGTCAGCAGAAGCAGGAAGCTGAGAAGCAGACAGCTCTCCATTGCTAAGATTCGAAAGATCAAGGCAACGTTTTGGAGTTCCTCTGTTGAGACATAAGACTCTATCAAGACTCCCATTAGGGTATACTATCCTAAAAAGGTAGAGATCATGTCTTCATATGAAATCTCTCTCAGTTACCACCACAAAGGTCTAAACAGTATCCAAACCAATTTAGCTGCTATTTTGAAATAGTTCAGACTGGGTTGAGAAAAACAATCCTCCACGTTTCACGTATCTCCCTGACAACAGTGTGACAATGTGAGCCTCAATCTCTTCTCACCAACATACGGAGGTGATTTATTTAATGAGAACTAAAGGGATTTCTTTCTTTCTTTCTTTTTTTTTTTTAGAATTTTACTACATTTTATTTTTGTATGAGCACATACTTGTGTGTGAAGGTCAGAAGACAACTCGAGGAGACAGTGGCTCTAACTGAGGTCATCAGGCTTGGTGCCATCTCACTGCCCAGTCAATAGGATCTAGAGCCCACATTCTCTATCCTGTTCAGTTTCTCCCTGGAATCTCTGCTACTCCTCAAACCTTGTCTGCTAGTGAGGTGTAAAGACGAAACGACCAGAGTCCAAAAGTACAGCACAAAAACGGATACAATTAAAGTGACCAACTCACACAACATCAAAATAGAATTTTCAGAGTTCTCCCTAGACGGCACATTGACTCTGACAAGACAGGAAAAGATTATTCCTGTTAAGACAGAAATGGAGAGACGGCTTAGAGGTTAAGGGCACTGGCTACTCTTCCAGATGGACCCAGGTTCAATTCCCAGCAACCGCATGGTGGCTCACAACCATCTATAATGAGATCTGGTGCTCTCTTCTGGTGTGGAAGCATATATGTAGCCATACACATAATAAATAAATAATTTTAAAAAGATATGATTTTTTTCTTTCTGTTATTATTTATTTGCAATAGAGTCTCACTCCATAGCCCAATAATTGTCCTGAAATTCAAGGTAAGCCCAGGTTGGCCCTGAACCTGTGGTCATCCTGTCTTCACAAACATACTCCACCAAGTCCCAGATAGAAAAAGATGTTTTTTATTGTTTGTTACATAGAAAGGAAGCTCAAGACTCAAAAGAGTCACATGTTCAAGGTCGTGGATGAGACTCAAACCCTGAAACTTGAAACAGGATAATTCAGCAAACAAACCTGCTCATAAAATCAAAAATAAGATGTAAAACTAAAAATTAATTTACTGGCTGGAGTGATGGCTGTGGTTAAGAGTTTGCTGTTCTCGCTGGGCAGTGGTGGCACATGCCTTTAATCCCAGCACTTGGGAGGCAGAGGCAGGCGGATCTCTGTGAGTTCGAGACCAGCCTGGTCTACAGAGCTAGTTCCAGGACAGGCTCCAAAGCCACAGAGAAACCCCGTCTCCAAAAACAAAAAAAAATAAAATAAATAAAAATAAAAAAATTCTTCCAGAAGACTGTAGTTAGGATCCCAGCACCTATTTCAAGCAGAGCAACCACCTGTACAGGGGTACAATGTCTCTGACCTCTGAAAACACCTACAATCACAAACATATATCCACATGTGAAATACACACACACACACACACACACACACACACACACACTCCTATACATCATTAAAAATAATAAGTCTTTTTTAAAAAATGAATTTACCCAGACAAAATGCTTAGGTTTGGCAAATCAAGGAGTTTGTCTCCTGGAGATCCGGGGAAATCTGAACGGGCGGTAAAAGAAGCATTTCTCTCCAAAATTAGGTGTAACATCTTCCTTTGACTGGACCTAAAACTGGGTGCTGAAACAGAACGTTCCTCTTCTCTTGCAGGTGGAAAGGGTCCTGTAGACATGACTTCCAAGTCTTCACCAAGGGAGGAGGGTTATCTAAGAGAAGAACACTGCAGATATTCAACTTTTTCAAGCTCTCCGCCCTTTCCAGAGCCCGCCTAAGCCCGGGTGGAAGAGCAACCCCAAACGATCGAGTCTAAAGCAGCTGGAATGTCACACTGCAGTTGCTCAGAGAAAATTGGCTTGATCCAAATCATCCAGTTTCACACTCTTGACCAGAAAAAAATGAATCTAACTAATGCGATAAGGCTTTTGGGACCTCTGGTCCCGAAAGAATCCTGCAGGGACAATCGGGTTTCCGAGATTCCCGAACGGACACAGCTCTCCGCTTACCTTAAGTAGAGGCGGACTTAAACTTGGAGAACCTCCTGCAGGACTGGACAGAAGCAAAGATTCCAAAGGATGACAAAGAATCTGAGGAACAGAAGCGTTTCTTCGGGTTAAAATTGTATCTCTGTAACTAGAGGTCCAGCTTTGCAGCTTCTCTCCGGAACTGCCAGAAGGACAAGACCAACAGACATAGGCCAGTCCATTCAAACCTTCCGCTCTCCCAACAACCTATCACCGCCCGCCTGCCTGCACCGTCAGCCAATCAGCATTTCAGACCATGACCCCGCCCTCTGACCAATCACTAGGCTAGTATCTCTCCGGCACACAGAGAGCCTGATGTACATTGGCTCTCCCTCTGGCCAATCGGCACACCCTTCCTGTACACAGTTCCCGCAACCCCAGCAACCCGGGAGATTTAAATAGAGCCCCACTAATGATGATGGTCTGGAGGAACTGTTTTTGAGTTGGAAGTGTTTCCTTCTCCTTGTTACTTTCTTGCGTTGTTTCTCTTGACTTTTGTTAGCTTTCGGCTGGAAATGGAGCATTTTGTCGCCGGCGTGGCAGTTGTTGGGGCATGACAGGAGTGTGTTGATGCTGAGTCGCCGCTGACCACTTCCAAGACGTTTTCTGGGTAGAAATTCCTGTTAGGGAGAATAGAGGAATTAAACCTTTTGACGTAATCCTTACGACATTCTAAAGGATCTTAACCTTTAGCTATTTATGTAGATTCGAACATTGACAAGATGAGGTTTATATGTAGGGAGATGGGTGGTTTCATGACTGTAACCCAGCATTTGAGAGACTGAGATAAGATCGTCGTGATTTGAGGACAGCCTGCACTGCACAGTCAGCTCCAGATCACCCTCGGCTAGAGAGAGACCCTTCTAGAAGGAGGAGAGGGCTGGCGAAGATTATTATATTAGTAGTGGTGGTGGTGGTGAAAATAGGAATGGAAGGAATGGAACCAGAGCCTTGGGAATGCTAGACAAGTACTGTCATTTAGCTGCTACTCCCCGGTAACAGCTTTTAGATTTTTTTTTTTTTTTTTTTTTTTTTTTGTCGAGATAGGGTTTCTTTGTGTAACAGTTCTGGCTTCCTTGGAACTCGCTTTGTAGACCAGGATGGCTTCAAACTCACAGAGCTCCATCTGCTGCTGTCTCTCCATGCTGCGATTAAAGGCATGTGCCACCACTGCCTGATTTCAATTTCTTTTATTTTTAATTGTGTGTGTGTGAGTGTGTGTGTGAGTGAGAATTTGTGCCAGTTGGGAGGTCAGAGGCTATCCCTCAGAGCTGGAGTTGCTGACAGTTATAAGCTGCCCAACATTGGTGCTGGGAACCAAATTCAATTTCTCTGCAAGAGCTATACGTCTCTTAACTGCCGAACCATCTCTCCAGCCCCTGAGCCCAAAAAGTTCTTATGTTGGTCTTTTTTATTTTCTTCAAATCTTTTGAGAGCGAGCGTGAGTATAGATTAGATAATTGGCCGTGAGTGTGGGGGTGATGACTGGGTGGGAAATTTTAGTTAACATACATACTAACCACCTGGAGATCCTGAGAAACTGGATTCTGATTCAGTAGGTCGGGGTATGAGACCAAAATTTCTACATTCATAACAAATTCTCAGTTGATGATGATGCCTCTGGCCCCAGGACCATACTCTTTTTTTTTAAATATTTATATATTTATTTATTCATTATGTATATAATAATCTGTCTGCATGTATGTCTGCAGGCCAGAAGAGGGCACCAGACCTCATTACAGATGGTTGTGAGCCACCATGTGGTTGCCGGGAATTGAACTCAGGACCTTTGGAAGAGCAGGCAATGCTCTTAACCACTGAGCCATCTCTCCAGCCCCCAGGACCATACTCTTAAGTAACAAAGCATTATGCTATGATTTTGTGTGTTGTTTAGCCTAAATTTGTCTTCAGCTTGAAATCCTTCCACCTCAACCACTTGGATTCTGAGATTACAGGTGTGTGATCCCATACCCATCCAGTTTCCTATACTCTGCTTCAGAATAAATGTGAATATTTTCTTGTCTGTCTTGTTGTTTTGTTTTTGTTTTCTTGAGACAGGGTTTCTCTGTAGCTTTGGAGCCTGTCCTTAAACTAGCTCTTGTAGACCAGGCTGGCCTTAAACTCACAAAGATCTGCCTGCCTCTGTCTCCCAAGTGGTGGGATTAAAGGCGTGCGCCACCACTGCCTGGCTCTTGTCTTTCTTTTTTATAATTTATTTATTTCGATTTCATGTACATTCATGTTTTCCCGCATGTAAATCTGCGTGAAGGTGTCAGATCCCCTGCCATGTGGGTGCTGGGAATTGAACCCAGGTCTTCTGGAAGAGCAGCCAGTGCTCTTAACCATTGAGCCATCTCTCCAGCCATTTTTTTTCTCTTCTTTTTTTTAAAAATATTTATTTATTTATTATGTATACAATATTCTGTCTGTGTGTATGTCTGCAGGCCAGAAGAGGGTACCAGACCTCACTACAGATGGTTGTGAGCCACCATGTGGTTGCCGGGAATTGAACTCAGGACCTTTGGAAGAGCAGGCAATGCTCTTAACCGCTGAGCCATCTCTCCAGCCCCTTTCTCTTCTTTTTAATGGGTAGTTGAGGCAAGGTCTTAACCTCAAACTCATGATTCTTCTGCCTTAACCGCCTAAATTCTGGGACTGCATGTCCCAGACTCCAGACTGGGAGAGCATGTGTCACCACACCTCTCTTGAAATTTTTTGTAATTAAATTTTTTTAAGATAGGTATGGTAATGTCCATTTGTAATCCCAGCTCTGCAAAGGATTAAGAAGAATTACTAGTCTTCACTACATAATGAGACCTAGTATCAAAGAAAATGTGGGGAACTTGGTGGTGAGAGCTTGTAGTCAAAGCCCTTGAGAGGCTGAGGCTGGAGGATCACAAGTTCAATGCTACCTGGGCTACCAAGTAAAATGATGTCTCAAAAACAAAGGACATGTTTTAATATAAAACCTTAGGAAGTATTTTAAATGCAGGTCAGTAGATCTATAGAGTATGGCCCAGGAATGATCAAGGCTGTCAGGTACTACTCATGCTAATAGCAGGCCACTTTTTGAGAAAAGTCAGAAAAATAACCTTTAAAGCTGGACTTGAGGACTAGAGACATGTCTCCGTGGATAAAGCATTTGCAGACCAAGCTTACGGACCAGATTTGGATTCCTAGAACCCACATAAATGCACGACGGCCTGCCTGTTATCTTAGCCTTCTGGAGGCAGAGGCACTTGGAGCAAGCTGGCTAGTTAGACTAGCCAAATCTGTGAGCTCTGGGTTCAAATGAGAGACCCTACTCCAATATACAAGGTGAGGACTAAGAGACCTGCCTTCAGGCACATATGCATCCACACATGTGGACAGCTGTACACATACACACCCCACACACACGTGGACAGCTGTACACATACACACCCCACACACACGTGGACAGCTGTACACATACACACCCCACACACACGTGGACAGCTGTACACATACACACCCCACACACACGTGGACAGCTGTACACATACACACCCCCCACACACGTGGACAGCTGTACACATACACACCCCACACACATGAAAAAGAAACTGGGCTTGATAGTGCACACGTTTAATTCCAGCACTCAGGAGACAGAGGCAGAGGGATCTCTGAGTTCAAGGCCAACCTTAGTCTACAGAGTGAGTTCCAAGACAGGCTCCAAAGCCACACAGATAAACCCTGTCTTGAAAACCAAAACCCAAAACAACAACAAAAACAAAAAATAGGGGCTGGAGAGATGGCTCAGTGGTTAAGAGCATTGCCTGCTCTTCCAAAGGTCCTGAGTTCAATTCCCAGCAACCACATGGTGGCTCACAACCATCTGTAAAGAGGTCTGGCGCCCTCTTCTGGCCTTCAGGCATACAGACAGAATATTGTATACATAATAAATAAATAAATAAACAAACAAAAATCTATAACCTTCATCTCCTATGAAAATCTTGGTGGTGATGGTGGAAGATAGATGCAGGATATTTTTTATCTGCAGAAACTGCTTCCCCAGAGAGGAGGTATGTGGAAAGTTTTTGTCCTCTAGGATAGAGATGGTAAGTGTGGGAGTCATCACAGAGCCCTGTCATGCCAGGTAAGTTGAAAAATAAGCCTGGGGTTTAAGGGAGTGTGAGGTGTGCTTATTTCTGCTTTGATGGCTACCATCATACTTTTCAAGGCACCGCATGTACTTCCCTGCAGGTGGGAAGTTGAGACAGATGAGGTAGTCCTGTAGCGGCGGCAGAAGCAGATAGACTGGCAAGGGCACACCTGGTTACTAGTGCTTTCTGCAGCAGGTCCCCAGGTGAGTGCAACTGGGGGCGCTTACAGCCAGAATGTCAACCAGAAGGCTGTAGCTCATGGTCGAGTGATGGAAAGATCACTGGCAGCTGAGTGCTCTAGCAGAGGTGAAAAATGACCAATTCTCCCACAATCTAGTCCCCCAAAATAAGTGTGAGATTTCTCTCAAGTAGAAAAAGCCTTAACCCAGAAGATTTTCAAAGCTTGTCCGTTTCTTTTTTCTAAAGTCTTTGTTGTGTTCTATTTTTAATCATTTTTCAAAAAGATTTATTTATTACGTATACAATGTGCCTCCTGTATGTACACCTCCATGCCAGAAGAGGGCACCAGATCTCATTACAGATGGTTGTCAGCCATCATGTGGTTGCTGGGAATTGAACTCAGGACCTCCGGAGGAGCAGCCAGTGCTCTTAACCTCTGAGCCATCTCTCCAGCCTCCCTGCTTTTGTCATTTAATGTCTGAGCTGTGTGAGTGCAGATGTGCCTGTCACAGTCAAAGGATAACTTTCAAACGTTGTTCTTTGCTTCTAGCACAGGCAGTTCTGGGGATCACACTTGGTCATCAGCCTCCCGCACCCTGGCAAATGTTTTTACCTACTGAGCCATCTTGTTGGCCCCCGTGTTTCTTTTTTTTATTATGAATTTTCTTTGTTGATGTACAAAGGAATGGATTTCTTTCTTTCTTTCTTTTTCTTTCTTTCTTTCTTTTTTTTTTTTTTTTTGAGACAGGGTTTCTCTGTGGTTTTGGTTCCTGTCCTGGAACTAGCTCTGTAGACCAGGCTGGTCTCGAACTCACAGAGATC